TTTGGTTATTTAGCAAGAAGGGTATCTCCTGTGTGTTATATGTGTTTTTCTCTTGCTAAAATATTTTTATATGGCACAGAAGACTATTTCCAATTGTTATTTCCAACAAGAATGGACCCACTGAATCAAAGGAACTTACATAAGTGTTGATGAATCAAATTCCCATTGGTTCGGGCTGCTACTACACTGCAGAATTAATGTAGTTTGACACTGCTTTAACTGTCATGGTTCCATCCTATGGAATTCTAGGATTTGTAGAGTGCTCTGATACAAAAGTCTAAATAGCTCACACAACTAAAAATCCCAGAATTCCACAGCATTGAGCCATGGCATTTAAAGCGGTGTCAAACTGCATTAATCCGGCAGTGTAGATGAAGTTTTTGTACATCTCTAGTGTAGCTGGAAGTAAAAACTGGATTTAGGCCATAGCTGTGTTGAAATTCATCATGCTTTCCCCATTTTCCATTTCACTTTTACTTAATTAATGCACCTGCTTATTATATATTCCATTTTTATTGAAAAGGAGGGGGAAGGAAGAAAGAAGATGAAGGGCAAAAAAAGAGGGAGAGAAGAGAACAAAAGTAGAAAAGAGTTAATCAATTATTTATACATTATAGTGTGCTCAAACTGTCACAACCTGGGTCATTATTCTGCATACAATTCAAGAAAACTGTGAAATTGTTTGAAATTTGGTTTCTTTTATAACTTAGCATAAAATATCTTAATGAGCTGCTATCATCAGAAGATGCTGACTCTTAAGTATGATCCTAAAAACAATCTTGGATTCTCAGTTTTGTGGGGATTTGCTAAACCCATTTTGTCCTTTCACACCTTTACATACATAACTTATTTTCCTTTTAGTCTAATTGTGAGTCTGACTCCATGCCCACCACCACTTCCACGTCTTTTCAAGCAGAGACATGTGGAAAATTCTTCTTATACAAAGCCCAGACACTGACAGCTCTACAACTCAGATGAGGTAGCAGAAATGCAAATTCTGAAGGAAGGGATAGTCATGCCCATAGCTTCATCTGTAGAGTTGTTCTGCCTGTTTCTGGTTTTAGGCTTGCCAAGCCTTTGACTTTTAACATAATTAATAAATACATTGCAATTGGTTTTATTTGTATTTATTTTATCCATATTTTATCTACCTTCTTGCTGATTTTTACTTTAAATTTTATTTTATTGTATATTTTCTTACTGTTTTTATTGCATTTACATTGTGTTTGAATTATCATTAGCCACATTGGTTATTATTGGGTATTAAAATTCAATTTTTTAAAAAAATTAAGTCACCAAACCTTTGGCATTTCAGATATTCAGTAAATAGCCATCTTGACTACGAACTAGGGAACTGACTGAATACAAATTTAATAAATAAATACATAAAAATGCAGGAGTGATCATATAGAGCCTCCACTAGAGAGAACTGAAAATATTGTTTCAGTTAATTTGTGATCAGGATTTACCAGTTTATGAAAGTAGACGTGAGAGGAAGCAAAACTGACAGATTTGCCTGTCCCCTAAGGATAGATGAGAACTTTCTTTCAGTTCACTTTTTACCAAAAATTTCCAAAATTCACAAATTTTGAGTGTGGGAGGAAGTGAAATATTCATCCATCTGTAGCCTTTCCTCAGATGATGAGAAAATTTTTCCTGAGAAAAGATCTAAAGTGAATTACACAAAGACCACTAAGAGCTTTGACCTGGGTAATTGTTGGAAATATGATTGAAGTATGATTGAAAACACAGCCATTTTTAGAACAAAGCTATTTCATTTCTTTTTTTTAAAAAAAATCTCCATATAGGACCAGCACACCTCCCTAATCCTTTAACCTTTAAAACTGTTGTATTGGAAATTACAGAAGGTAAGTGGTGGGTTCTAAATTAGGACCATTTAAGATAATTGGATTCTTTTATTCTCACTTTACTTTCCTCAGGAGAAATTAGACCGCTTAGTAGGACCTACCATTTTAAGGGACTGGTGGTTCCGGGTGGGATTGTTTTGCTTACTTTTAAGACCAGCTGTTAGGATTCAAGACAGTTGCCCAAAAAGTTCTGAGATCTTTATCCAAAATGAATGATATCTCTTATTTATCAGCCACTCCCAATTAGTGATCAAGCTCATTCTTTTGTCTCAGGGCTTACTGCCTTTTTCCTTTCACAAGGAAGGAAGGCTCTATCCAGATGGGTCCACGTTCCTCTCATACTGAACTCCAAACCACCCACAGGCACCATGGGCTACCATGTCAAGCAAATATCAGAGCAAGTATTGGAGCCACCCACAGTTGTGGGAACATATCAAACCCATCAGGACTGAAGCTGAGCTGCCTGGCAACCATTTTCTGAAAGGAAAGGAAGCTGGAGTCCATTGTTCTCCAGAACATTGTTCTCTCCTCCCCATGCGCTGCATGCTCACCCCTTCTCCCACAGTTAGCAAATGAGTACACCTTTTGCCGGCCGAACTCAAGAATCCCTGTGTACTTCTGTAGCAAGCGAGGCACTTGCCTCACACGGCCCCCCTCTCCCTTGGTAACAAATCACGACTATAAATGAAGGAGGCTTCAAGCATGATAAAATCCATGAATTATGTTTAGCGCAATGTAATTGTAGATTAATGTACTGCAAACTCAATAATTAGAGCTCCGCGGTGTTTTCTCGTGTGCTGCAGTGTCACCCAAATATTGCACAGAAAAGCATCCTCCCCAAACTCTTTTGAAAAATATTTTATTTCTATTTAGCTTTTCAGCCCTTGCTGGTGTGTATTTGGAAACATTTTCTTCCTCGTGAAAGAAGGCGGCTTGTTCAAATTGCTTCGTTTAGTTGTTTATCATTAGAACCTGTCAAAAACTTATTAAATTTATACTGCCTTCCTTCAACCACGTTTATGCTTGTAGTCTTCATTCTGGCAATAACACCTGATAGTCAAATATTCAGATTTAATCTTGTATTATTTACAGTAAAGATAGAATGAAGGGAGCTCTCCAAGTTGGATTAATTAGAGTTTGGTCCCTAAGGGCTTCAGGAAAAATTAATGTTGTCACCAGTAGGTGTTTTCAGGCTTCCACTGGCAAACGCATACAGACCTTTAAGAGATGTAAGCCCAAATGTCTTTGCACTTTTATCATGTCTCAGCAGGTATACTCCAGACTAGTTACCAATCAGTTAATTTAGCCTGCAGTCCTAGAGACATTTACCAGAGACCGAAGCATAACAAAATATAGTTGGACTGAGGACCAAGTTCACATGCCAGGGTGGTGTAGTGATTTAAGTGTTGGTCTACAACTCTGAAGACTGGAGTTCAAATTCTCACTCAGCCTTGGAAACTCACTGGGTGTCTTACAAGTCACACTTTCTCAACCTCAGAGGAAGGCCATGGCAAATCTGAACAAGTCTTGCCAAGAAAACCCTATGATAGGTCCACTTTGTTTTTGTTGTTATTGTTGTTATGTGCCTCCAAGTCCTTTTTGACTTATGGTGACTCTAAGGTGTACCTATCATAGGGTTTTGTGTTTTTATGGCATGTTTCTTTGGGGAGGGGTGCCACTGTCATTCTCTGAAGCTGAAAGAGTGTGAGTTGCCTAAGATCACCCAGTGGGTTTCATGGCCAAGCTGGGAATTGAACCCTGGTCTCCAGAGTCATAGTCCAACTCTCAAACCACTACAATACATGCATAGCATTGCTCTGCTAGTCCTTGGTCCTAAAAACACATTCCAGAGTAAATTGAGCTAAATATAGCAGAATTTCAGTTGGGAGAAAATATATATATACAGGATTTGCTTTTCAAAGAGTGGGATTTGGAGTACAGTACTACAGAACTGATGACAGATTTTTTTTTCTCTTTTAAAAAAATAATCCCGCTCTTCTCCAGAAGGGCATCTTTGTCTCAGTAATAATATCAGCTTTCCAGCTTCTCATACATTTAATCACTGTGGGGCCTTTTAGACTAAGAAACATTTCACACATGCCAGTTAGCGTTTTTCTTTGTGGTGGTAGTGATGATTACAGTACCTACACAATGCTTTGCCTACCCCCATTCCTTCCATATTCTAACTTGTAATATACAAGCACGTCTCCTATGCCCCCTAGTAATTTATGGAGTCTGGTCGTGTGGAAGGTTATCACCCCATTAAATAAATCTTAGGTCCAAAACACACTGCAGAAATAATCCAGTTTGAGACTGCTTTAACTGTCCCAGCTCAATTCTAGAGAATTCTGGGAACTTTAGTTTTGTGAGACATTTAGCTTTCTCTGTCAGAGAGAAGGCTCTAGTGCAGGGGTAGACAACCTTTCCCCTTTAAGGGCCGAGGGACTTCAGCTCCCAGAATCCCAGGAGCTATTGGCCAACATGAGACTATTGGCCAACATGGCTGAGGCTTCTGGGAGCTGAAGTCCCTCGGCCCTTAAAGGGGAAAGGTTGCCTACCCCTGCTCTAGTGCCACAATAAACTCCTATTCCCAGGATTCCCTAGCACTGATCACATCTTCCGCCATGAATTTATTCAGTTATCTTTTAAAGTCATTCTGGTTGGCATCCATAACTACATCTCATGGCATTTACAGTGGCGTCACTAGCAGTGTGTGGAGGGTGCAGACTGCACTAGGTGACACCCTAAGGGAAGGTGACACCATTGCTCCTCAAACACCTACCTTTGGGCAGAAACATGTTGTGGCATTCATCTGTTTCCCTTTAAAATGCTTTAAGAGATGGTGGGATTGGGGCAAAGCATAACGGGAGGAGAAGGCGATGCCCCAGAATTTTTAAACATTCAAATTTCATTTTATTTTTTTATTAAATTTTAATTTTTGTAAAAAAAAAATATTCTTTTTAAATTTTCTTTAAAAAACATCACATTTTAATCAAATCTTCACAATGTATATATATATATGATATTGTAATTCAAAGGCATAATTTTAATTTTGCTAGCTGTTTACATCACAGCTATTAGTATTACCTTCAGTGGTATATGGGAATTGTGATTTACGAGTAACATTGGTACAAAAAAAAATTATTAAGGATTATGTATGTTGTGGTATGGGAGGAGAACAATGGGGGGATGACACCATGAGTTACTGCACCGGGTGACACCAACCCTAGGGATGCCCCTGCATGGCAATGAATTCCTCAGATTAACTATGATCTGCGTGAAGACCTAAATCTTCACACTTGAGTTCCAGTATTATGAAGGAGGAAGAAAAACTTATTTCCCTACCATGCATAATTAAATACACCTCTTTCATGTCTCCCCTTAGTTGCCTTTCTTGCTAAGCCAAACAGGCCAAAATGTTGTAACTTTTCCTCCAGGGAGGTTGTTGCTGCCAACCATTGATCCTTATAGTTACTCTTCACTGCACCTTTTTCCAGCAATACAATATTCATTTTAGGGACTGTGACCAGAACTGTATAGAACTGTATGAAGGCAGTATAATACCAACAGTTTTATTTCCAGTTCCCTTTCTAATTATGCCATAGAATTCATCTTTTTTTTAAAAGCAGCATATCAGGTTGATATTATGTGGGTTGCCAGAGTATAAAATGAAGAGGACTCCTATATCTTTAATGGCTGTGTAGAAGAGGAATTTCATCAGGTCTTGTTTGTTACCTGATTATGTGACAAAATTCTCTCTAAAATTCTCTCTTTTATACAGTGGGCCTTGACATCCACTAGAGTTTGGTTCCAGGACCCTCCAAAATCCATAGATGTTCAAGTCCCATTAAATACAATGGCACAGTAAGATAGTGTCTCTTGTATAAAATGGCAAAATCAAGGTTTGCTCTTTGAAATGTATAATTTTTTTAAATATTTTCAAACCATGGATGCTTGAATCCATGGATTAAAAAATCCGTGGATATGGAGGCCTAACTGTATTACCATTAAAGGACATGAGTTGTCTCCATTGTTCAGTCTGGCAGTCCTTTCTTGGCCAGTCATTGCCGTCTCATGTCCCATCAGGGTATATGTGGAATTAGGATCATTTCCCCCCCTCCATTATGCTTCACTTTTACACTTGCTTACACTGAATTTCCTTTCATTTGCAAGGAAGACACACACTTTCAGATAGGGACTCAGACCCTGTTTGGTTTCTCGCCAGCTGTTTAGCCTGAAAAACTGAACGCTGCTCAGGAGAAACGGCACTCTTCTTCTGACACAGATTTCTGTTCTTAGCTTCTCTCGTATATTGGGAATGTAAGCAGTGCTGTTCCAGAAGAGACTGGTGAATGCTGCAGTTTAGCAAGACGGATCAAATCCCGTCTGATCGTGAAAGCTAAGCAAGGTTAACCCTAGTTAGTACTTTGATGGGGGACTGCCAGGAAATACCAGGTGCTGCAGGCTCTATTTCAGAGGAAGGAACTGGCAAAACCACTTGAGTATTCCTGGTCTAAGTGACCCCTGTGAAATTCATGAGGTCACTGTACATCCACAGGAGACTTGAAGGCATGCATACACACATACACCCCTTCTACCTTCTCACCATCAGACCATGAGGAAAGGCAACAGCAACTTGTTCTACATGTCACTTGGTAACATAACCCATGGCATTCCTCAGTGCCTCCAATAGGCAGGCATTAATTTTAATGTTGCAGAAAAGGCATGCTACAGTGACTTCTTAGTTATAATTTGAAGGCCAGCACTCCATCCTGACTTCACCAGCTGGCATCAAACAAAATGGCATCCAGCAAAATGAATGAAGAGCCATGCTAGACACAGACAAAGTCCTATAAAGTCCAGCATCCTGTACAACTGTTTTGTACAGTGACTAACCAGATGTTTCTAGAAGTCCACAAGCAGGCCATGAACACAATAGCACCATCCTCCTCATGTCTCCTACCAGCTGGTATCTCCCCCTTTCTATCTCCAAGCAGGGTGAAGGCACTCCATTTCTGGTGTCTGGACAAAGAGGACATCATGGTGCATGGGAACAACATTGCTTTTACTCCATTCCCTGGTATTTATTTTTTATTTTTTATTTGTTTTGCTTCAGCTGCACAATTCCATACTGTGGTGGGTTGCCAGCAGGAGGCATGGGACTGGAAAGTGGCAATGCAACCTGCACTGAGGCCATCAAGGCAAGGAAGAATGATTGAGTTGGGTTGAAGTTATTTATATCCCTCTTCCTCCCCAAAGGAGTCCAAAAGAGTAAGGAAGGAGGCAGCTCTGAGTTTCAGCTCTATTGAGAGAGCAAATCCTTCTTTTCTTTTCTCTCCTTACAAAGCATAGAGCTGGAGTGTGTTGCCAAGGGGTTCACCTTCAAGAGAAGGACAAAGCAGACAGAGGGCATGGCATCTAGCATTCAACTGCCACACATGCACCTCAAACATACGTGCCAAGACCCATAAAGGAAACAGGGCCATGCTTGCATTCAAGTGCAGGGGCTTTCCTCTGTGAGAAACGACTGCTTTTCTTCTCTTCTGTTTTTTTAAGGGACTCTTTGAGGAACTGGTTAACAGTCTGCTGAGCATGGGAGCATCCCTATTAAAGCTAACTCTTTGCCATTGATATTAATTCTGCAATTAATTCATTAACTATTGATTGGGGAGGTCAGGGAATATTATATAATAAATCCATACCATTTAATTGTTAGTAACAGGATACTGACACATTACTTTTTCATTTAAAAATCAGTTCAAATTATCCAAAAAATGACCAAAATCAAAATTACCTGCCAAAAGGAACAAATCACCTGAAATGTTACTCAAACACCTAATTCATTAACATTATTAAATGTTAAAATGAAGCATGTAAAATAATTGTTAAAACTTATAGCAAATTGTTGATAGCTAAAAAGGAGAAAGGGAATGGGAGGAGGGAAAGGAAACTAGCAAAACCTTTAAGACTAGGGGTGCATCTGCACTGTAGAAATAATGCAGTTTGACACTAAGTGCAGTAGCTCCAGCCTGCTGTGATTTGTAGTTTTACTAGGCCCTTAGCCTTCATTGCCAAAGAGCGCTGTTGCCTCATAAAACTGTAGAAATAATGCAGTCTGACATTTGTAGTTTTATGAGGCACCAGCACTCTTTGTCTCTAAGATCCAGAAAGATGCAAATCGTGACATGGCCCTATTTCATTTTCAACATATTAATTCCAAGTTCTGGCAAAATTGCCTACTTTATAAATTGGCCATATCCTGCTTCTCATCTGTTCAGAAATGGAAGACAAAAGAAGCGTCAGTTTGAAACTTTCATCCAAATAAAGGTCTGACAAGGAAGGTAAAATATTATTGTCAGAGAAGTCACAGACTTAGGTCACAGACACTCAATCATGCAAAAGCTACAAAATCCCTCATGGTGAGGGATGAGCATCTGTAGGATCCAAAGATGTTTACCTGCTTAGTACTATGTGGAGAAGAATACTGGACTTTGGGCAGAGGAGGGATTTGCAGAGACTTCTTAAAGGTGAGCCTGTGCTGTAGCCTCAGATCTGGCAATGAATTTGCTACTGATTTGAACCTAATCTTCAATAAAACCTTTCTTGATCCACCCATGAAGTACATTCAGGTAGAGACATGGCATCATACCTTGCAAGATCTGAACTAAGGGCCTTATCACACGGGGTCTAAAGCAGTCCCATCCCTGAGCCATCCCTGCGCCATT